GAAAAAACTGTACATTGCTTAATTGTGCTAAATTATGGGTCAATTCCGAAGGAAATCGTTTGTACATCACGAATTTCATGTTTTTATTGTTTGTACAATCATTGTTAATTAAGTTGAGGTGAACAATGACGATCTAACCCCATCCCCAGCAAAGCATTGATGGTTCCTGTATTATCGACCTTGGCGTTTTATTCTCTCAGTTTGCATGTGTTTCCAACATTAGTTCATTTTTTCATAAAAAAAAACTTTAAATTGAACAACATAATTGTTGATGAAGAATTAATCATCTTATTTGTACCTGTGTGGGAAATAGAAATACATATCTGCATTGTGATACGGGACATTGGCATAAGGGAAATCATTACCCCCGAAGATTCTGACTGCTCGAAAGAGGTTATGTTTCATGAAAGATTGTTAAAAGGAACATTCCTGCAATAATCTTCGATCAAAAGCATTGACAATCACTGCAAACCTCGTGAGAAGGCTGTGTGTAACTGAGTGAGGTAAGCTTGGAAGAATCATTTTCAATAAATGCTTGTCAATTTTTCTCTGATTTTGATAGCACTTTTTTTGGGGAGAACAATTGATAATTATTTCTACATTCTCTCTACTTCCAAAGTAAAATTGTTAGTCTCCACGAGTATTCCCTGTTTCACACCAATCACTAGTCCATATCATAAGTTATTTCATTCCTGCACAGGTAATAATTAGAGAGGCACATTCTTTTTGGATCAATGCCAGGAAATCTTGAAGCATTACACCCTCCAATAGACTGAATACTTTGGTCTCTATATAGTTCTCATCAACAGCACAGGAGACACAATTGATGATTTATTAAAATGAAAGGGATTATGAAGAGGTTTGAGAGTAGAATACTGGTGATAAGAAGGTCTCGAGTCTTGTGCAAAAGGAGTAACGATTATACACTGAACCTCAAGGAGACTCAATTGACATGGGCAGCATGTCCCTGAGCCTGAACCTTGCATGTCCATGCAAGGAAATCTACACCGAACGCGCACAACTTCTGCTTCCCCTGTTCCCTGACCCTAAAGACGATGACAAGAAAGGACCTCTAACATCACAATTTGTATCGACAATCAACTCCCACAGTAACCCCGCGTCTATATGGATAAGACTCATGTCTGAGGACCCGAGTGTTTTGAAGAGTATGCACTGCTCCAATAAAAAGTGTGGAGAGAAGCAGCGAAAACTATCGACATTCTGTCCTGACAATCCATCACTGAGGCGCTTTGGATTCAAGCGCTTGCAGGATACGCTAAAGTATTATCCAAAACTCTGGAATGTGAAATGTCCTTGTCGAGCAGTCAGGTGTGAGGAAAATGTTTCTAATTGTCATGTATATCTGGAGCTAGATTGCAGAGAGAGAGCAACCGATCCTGGTAGCAAGCTCTACGATCTGCCTACATCTTTGAACTTGAGCAGAGAATACAGGTATGATGCAGTTTCTGACTGATTCATTTGACTTCTCTCACATTGAGAATTCATATATTTAACGATTCAATGGAACAATTATTATTTTCAGATTAGCTGGAGTCGTCTCATATGATGCGACCTATGATCATTTCGTGGCCTACTGTTGCCGTCGTACTGGAACGTGGGGGTACCATGATGGACTACTCAGTAAAGTAAAACCTGTGAAAGGAAATCCGGTGATACAACCTGAATGTGCCTTATATCTGATTAATCAGTGAGCAGGAACGTTCACTACGCTCAACATTTCAGTTTTCTGTGTCGCCAAAGCTAGTTCTTTATCTTAAGTATATTAGTTATAATATGATTCTTATCGAATGTTATTTGTTAAAATAAAGATTTTGATTTTTGAAAAAATTCAGGAAGACGCGAGATAGTGAACCAAGAGTAAATGGTTTTTAGTTTGATTCTTTTAATACAAACTCTCATGTTTGAACATTGTTTCATGATGAAAGTAAACTGTAAATAGAACAATATAAAAGACTGTTGGTGTACCTGCAACGCAAAGCCTCTCCCCCCAGACGATATAGCTTATATGCATAATTTACATCTTTTCTCTTTAGTTCCTTCATGAATTCATTATCAAATACGTAGTACTGTAATTATTGGAAGTTTCTTGAGAAGGAAAAGTTTGATTTAGGAGAATTACGTGCAAGAAAATTATTAGGAGTGAAATAACAGATTCTGTTGGTTCAAATGTTTCATAAAATTTCTTTATTCAAAACAGCGATGAGATACGGAAAGTGGATGGAAAATCACTTACGTATTTTTTTTCTTGAAAGATGATACGATTTCGGAATTATATCAAATTATGATGTCACAATGCTACGTATTTCGGTGTTTTTGCAAAACGTTATCATATGTTGTCATTGTCAATCGCTCATCACTTCATAGTTCTCAATTATTCTTCGAAATAAAAAACACGTGTCCTCTCATGAAGTAGGCACAGTTCCCAACAAAAAAATGTCTTCTCGTGACCCCAATTGAATCAGAATTTCTTTGCCCATTTTTGACGTGGAAAAATAAAAAAAAGATCGAAAAACATGTACAAATGATGGAATACGAAAAAATACGAAAACATCATACAAGCTTCCACCTTTTTATACTATTTGATGATAAAAGTGAACTGGAATTAAAACAATATAAAAAAAACTAGTTCCATACCTACAGCACTAATTCTTTTGCTCCAGGGGATGTAGTTTGCATGCACGATTTGTTTCTTTGCCTTCAATCTAATTTTTCTTCGTGAATGCCACTGAACATCTAGGACCACAGTTATGAGAAGTTGTGATGCCTGGTTTACGTGAAACAAATTATCAATAGGTGGTGATATGATACATCCCACTAATTGTGTCCTAGCATGGAATTCCTTTATCGAATGGAACAATAAAGACCGAAAAATTCGATGGCAAATAACATACATGTTTTCTGTAGCTTGAAAAATGATAGAAAATCAAGAAGTTATATCAAATTTTGGGAACGTCTGCATTTATTATTATATTCAATGATAGAGAAATTCCATGCAAAAATTCCAGTGATCCAATTATTTCGATATTGTATTCACTTTAGAATAGAACGTTCATAGTTCTTCTATGAACGAGCGACAATTTTCTACTATTTCCCTTCGTGACCCTCACAATCAAGTTTGACGGTTCATTTTTTACTCATGAGCGAACCTTCTCCCATTCGATGAAATATAAAAGATTTATGAGATCTGTACGAATCTTCAGAACTATTAAGTTAATAAAAAAAATGAAACTTAGGAAAACTCAAGAATTATTTCATTTAGACAAATAATTTCAAGACACACTTCTTTTATTATTTTAAATATTCTAATTTTTTCAATGATAAACTGATTATCGACTATATTGCATTCATTAAGTGCAATCGGCAGTTCCTTATAGTGTATTTCAATGGTAATAATTAGCTTCCCGAAATGGGAGTAATTTGATCTTGGCTTGGACACAAATTTTCATATATTGAAATTAATTTGTCAAGAGAAGTCGTACAATAGGTTGATCTCATATGGTGAACACATGTATGCATCGTTTCAAATCTTTTTCTCCCATTTCTTGTTGAATCATACGATAAATAACAAATACAAAACTCTGTATTTCTCACTGCTTTTTCTTTGCGTTAGACTCTTCCATGCATCTTAACTTTGGGCATGTCTATCGTTGCAGTTTTGTCTCGAATTGAAAAGCGCCTAAGTCTAAGGAGCGTCACTCGTTACCAGATTTGATTTTATTGCTGACTGTATTGCCCTCAGTGGGTCTTGAAGTCTTGAGAGGGGGAGGTACAGCAGTAGATAACGAATCTTGGAATTTTTTTCGCTGGGTGGAGAAACATCCGTTGGATCCAGTTTCGTTAGCTCACTGGAGAAATCGATGGAACACTTCGATTTCCCACAGAAATTTGAAAAAAAAAAAATTCAAATAAAATTAGAATTTAAAGAGAAAAAATCCCGATTCGCCCAGCCGGGATTCGAACCCGGGTCTCCCAGTTACGCGCCGGGCACTCCTCCAACTAAGCTACCGGGTACCACGGAAACTCTCTCACTCCAAATTCAAATCAACATTAAATAAATTCAAATAGAGAGATCACAGCAGGATGAGAATTGAAATATTTTTGGGCTTTTCTGTTTTTTCTACTGCCTTCTACGTCCTGGGTGTATTTCATAGCGTCACCGATGATTTCTGGCTTTCGTAAAGGATCTGAGGATTACCATTGGGGTAGTGCTTGATCCGAAGTAGCTCCTTTCCTCCCTGCAAAAGAGACTTTTTTGTGAGTGTCTTCAGACTGTTGTGAGGCAGTTCTCAATTTCTTTCTGCGACAGCATTGAAATTCTTCTTGGGGAGAGCACTGATACGTCGTTTATACTTTGACACTCCGAGAGACATTGATTCTCGATTGGGGAATGTTCGAACACCTACCACAGATACATTTGAGTACATAATAAAGTATCTCAGTGCCTCGATACCTCGACTCTTCAGCTTGAAAACGTAATAAGACGAGGGGTTATGACTATGGGTTCTTCTGTGAGAGCTGACGCTCGATAATCCACTATTGCATCAGACTAATGGTCATGCTGGGACATTCTGCCGCATCAGAAATCGATGAATGATTTACCTGCAATGAAATGATGAACTGAAAACATGAAGTCGATGTGAAATGCGAATTGACTTTGGAAGTAGAGAGGATGTAGAAATAATTATCAATTGTTCTTCCCAAAAAAAAGTGCTATCAAAATCAGAGAAAAATTGACAAGCATTTATTGAAAATGATGCTTGCAAGCTTACCTCACTCTCAGTTACACACAGCCTTCTCACAAGGTTTGCAGTGATTGTCAATGCTTTTGATCGAAGATTATTGCAGGAATGTTCCTTTTAACAATCTTTCATCAAACATAACCTCTTTCGAGCTGTCAGAATCTTCGGGGCTAATGATTTCCCTTATTGCCAATGTCCCGTATCACAATGCAGATATGTATTTCTATTTCCCGCCCAGGTACAAATAAGGTGATTAATCCTTCATCAACAATTATGTTGTTCAATTTAAATTTTTTTTTCCATGAAAAAATGAACTAATATTGTAAACACACATGCAAACAGAGAGAATAAAACGCCAAGGTCGATAATACAGGAACCATCAATGCTTTGCTGAGGGTCCGGTTAGATCATAATTGTTCACCTCAACCTAGCTAATTAACAATGATTGTACAAACAATAAAAACATGAAATTCGTGATGTACAAACGATTTCCTTCGGAATTGACCCATAATTTAGCACAATTAAGCAATGTACAGTTTTTTCCGGCTAGCATCATGACAAAAGATGATTAATTTTTTTAATTAATGAGTCCTCTTTGGCGACGGCATTCAAATGTTACCTGAGAGATGGCGCAAGGTAATAGAAAACGATGGACAATATTTCCAAGATTAAGTTCGTTGTTCTCTATTTTTATATATTAATAGTATATTTCGTCACTAGGTCGAAAGAAACTTTTCTGGCGAATATGAGTTTGCAGCCCGAGCCGAAGGCGAGGGCTGCAATCATATGTGCTAGAAAAGTTTTTTTTGGCCGTATGACGAACAGTATTTTTTGTTATGACGGCCGTAGGCAGAGATTCACGGACGCGGAGCGGAGCGCAGCGTCCGTGAAGCGCTGCCTCACGGCCGGAATGACAAAAATAAATTTACTGAAAAATCGGTAAAAATTAAGTCACACACCTAATACTATTGCAATACCTGCAGTTCACTTTGCGGAGTGGTTTGGGGGGTAAAGCGTTTGTTTTGTGCGCGAAGTGCGTAAAGTTCAAGGGCATGTGTAATGTGAAGTTCGAGTGCGTAAAGCGACTTGTGAACTATACGCACGTCGTGCGGGAAACTAACACTGTACGTACGCAAAACCGTGCCGAAAAGTGAATTTTTTTTGGCAGGTGTTACAAAAAAGTAATAAACCAACGTACTTTCGGTGGAGTATAAAAAAGGATTATTAGTGGAAAAAAAGTTTAAGTAACAAACAAACGTATTTCCGGATGTCCGGGAGATACGTTGCTCTTTTATTTGGATGCTCATTACATACATTTATGCCACTCATGCCTGAAACCGGCTGGATTACACACTCGTTTCAGTTGACTATAGTCAACTGGAAAGTAGCGGGTTTCAAGCGCCTACCCACACTCAACTGTTAGAACAGTTGGTTTCAGTTGAGTGTAGGTAGGCGCAAAGAGGATTGACTAAAGTAGAGGCTCAGATCTCGGGGTTAGACTGACCCCAAGCCAAAAGTAGTTCGACCCCAAAGGAGGGATGCCGCCACGGTCGATTCTGACGGCTGAGCGAACTGCCGGTGCGGGTAACTCGGCAGTAGTAGCAGTCCCGCTCCCGCTGNAGCAATCTCCCTTACAATCTCTGGCGCTACGCGCTCGGGATTTTAATCTGCACAGCTGATCCCGATCGTTGATATGCAGGAAAACTTGAGGGAAATATCCGATGAATTTTGAAGGTCAAGGGGTATTCTAAAGAGGATTGACTAAAGTAGAGGCTCAGATCTCGGGGTTAGACTGACCCCAAGCCAAAAGTAGTTCGACCCCAAAGGAGGGATGCCGCCACGGTCGATTCTGACGGCTGAGCGAACTGCCGGTGCGGGTAACTCGGCAGTAGTAGCAGTCCCGCTCCCGCTGTCGCAGGGATAGTTTCGGAGTGGAATTTGTGTCCTCCTCGTCCTCAGCATGTTCTTAATGTTTTTAAGGTGATTCATTTGCTGGCTAATTAATATTAAGGAATGAAACACAGAGGGTGTGATGGAGAATTAAATTCCCCATCAATCGATCCCCGTTGCATCCCTTAATCTCTGTAACAGAAAAATAAAAACTACGACAAAGTCATGGGCCAATGAGAAAAATAATTTTGTTCTCGGCGCACAGTGACTTTTCACCATTCGCTCGCGAATTAAAAATTCACTTCTCCCCTCCTAATTGAGATTAAGGGATGAAAAAAGAGTAGTTCGACGGAGAATTAAATTCCCCACCAACTGACCCTCTTTCATCCCTTAATCTCTGTGAAAAATGGAAGAAACTGTCATGGAAATAACAGCCCAGTAAGAAAAATAATTGTTTTGCGGCGCACAGTGACGCCCGGTAATTGACAATTCAC